GAAAAATAGTAGAAATATACCCGTGCCTTTATATTTTACAAAAAATATAGTCAGAATTAATAAAAAATTTAATAAATTAGAAAATAAAATTAAAATATTAGACGATTGTTTTGATAAAAAATATATTGATAAATACGAATATAATTAGCTTTTCTATTTATTGGGAGATATAAACTAAACTTATCTTATAATAGGAATAGAAAACCTTGGGCTTGACGAATAGAAAAAGGATATTAAATTATGTCATCCTTTGTCATGTATGATTCCATAGCAAGATTGTAATTATAAATACCATGGCATTGAGTCATTGGTCATCCTCGCTCAGCCGCTATCCTCCGTGCCGGAAATCGCAGCGTGCCGACAGTTCAAAATCAAAGAGCAAAACATACGAAAATCATCAATCGTGTTAAAATCATAAATTCAAAGCAGAAGAAGAATGGGGAGACCCAAGGGAGAAGCTACAAGAAGCAAGTCTCGCCCCTCTAGCAGCAGGTTCTTTTCTTCAATTTTTTTTTTCCCGATTAAGTTCTGGACTTTTTGGAATTTAAATCAATCGATTTAAATTTTGAATAAAATTTTGGCAGTTTGGCTGCTTCGCTAGTGCCTTCAGGTGCTACCGCCGTAGGTTTCGGTGGCTATGTTGGAAGCTCAAGAGTCGACTCTTCTCTCGCATCAACGCCTGAAGCCTCCTCTTATCTGGTAATTTTCTTTTTCTATTTTACTGGAAAAAAAAGAAATTATTGCGAGTAATTTATTTCCTATCTGTGTAATCATGATTTATTTAATATCACTATTTTCATCCATATGGTGGCAAAGAACGATCTTGACGGTGAAATGGCACAACACTTGAAGCGGCTTTCGCGCAAGGACCCTACTACCAAGGTAATGCTTTGTGATCTGTTTTTCCTTTTGGAATTGTTACACCTGATTGCTAGGTGTGGCAGGTCGAATGCTTAATAAATTGTAATGCTTAGGCACCATTGGGTGAAAATTTGCTTATCTCCATAGTTATTTTCCTTTTGTTTCTTGTTTCACTCTACTTGATAAAACATCTAATGGCGGGTTAAGTATTTCTACTTAAAAATGCTTCCATGAAATTTTTTGCTTGTTTTAATTCTTTGTTTAAATACATCTATGAGGTGTGGAAGTTTACTCAGGCCGAATCTAAACTTGTGCTCGAGAGAGAGTTGTCCGCTGATAAGGGATGTACGGGTTCTCAATTATTTTAGGATTTAGGATAAATTATTCTAGGGTATAAACCTCTAATTCGAGTTGCAAAATGGTTGGATTGTGGATGCTACTATTTTTATATGTTGGCTAGCTCGCTCACTTTTGCTTCATTGACAGCTCAAAGCTTTGACATCGCTATCTGAACTTCTCAAACAGAAAACTGCAAAGGAAATAGTGCCAATAATTCCTCAATGGGTAAGCTTATCTCCATACTTTCACTTGTTGGGTCGATATATATGAACTAATCTAAGTAAAAAATGCAATGGAATCTTCTTTGAGATCTTTAATATAAGGAAGTCTTTAGTAGTGTGCCTAGACAATGGATGAGTGATATTTATTTTTTAATTATCAATTATAATCATGGTTTAGATTTTTACACTGCTTATTTTCCTTGTCTCTACAAGGCATTTGAATACAGGAAGCTGCTGCTGGACTACAATAGGGAAGTTCGACGAGCAACTCACGACACTATGACTAATCTTGTCAATGCTGTGGGGTTCGTGCTTAGTTTATTTTCAAACCTTTTATCTCTGTGATGTATATGCACAATTATTTATGTTAAAACCATGTAGTCTTTAGACTCTGCGATGCGCCAGGAGCATGAGTTGGTAAAGTTACAACTAGTTTTTTTTTAGTACCAGTTCCACAGAATGTCAAGAACTGTCATATATGCAAATGAGCAAGGTTGATTCTTTTCTGTAGCACCTGCTTCCACTTCATGGTTCATAAGCAGAATATTATCTTTTTTAACTACAAATCTATACTCTGCAGCTTATAATGATTTTTTATATCATTATGGATTTCAAGATGTTTTGCTACAGATGCTAGATTCTATATCCGCAATATCTTATAGGTTCATCATTTCCAAAATGAATAATTTTATTGTTTCACTTTTGTTGTCATGTTGACTTATTCTTCCCCATTGAAATTTCGTTTAACTCTGCTTGTAGATAACATCTTTTACATAATGCTAAAATTCAAAACAATTAGCAATTCCTGTAACCTATAGTTTCCTGGAATTAAAAACTTAAATAAATGAATGTAGAAAAATTTCCTGAAATACCATATGGTTGACATAAACTGGAGTTAGTATTTATTTATTTATTTTTTCAAAAAAATGATATCATTGCATTTCTCTGCTTCTATTTTCTCTCATGTAAGTTTTGATCAATCTGACACTAAATTTCTTATTAGGAAGTTCGTGTAGGTTACATTTTCATCTAACAACCAAATTTAGCCCTTTTCAACTTAATTTGTCGAATATGCTACGCAAACACGTGTATATATTGATAAATATGAAAATGCGAAACACTTCTTTCTACGCTATTTTGAATTGCAAATATATATATAGTACATAGTTATTTTCTTACGTATCTGTTTTTCTTTCTTATTGCAGGAGAGATTTGGCTCCACATCTAAAGCCTTTGATAGGACCATGGTGGTTTTCTCAGTTCGATTTAGTTTATGAAGTTTCTCAAACTGCAAAGAGATCATTTCAGGTTTTCTTTTGTTTCTTTGGATAATGATAGCATCTGCGTGATGGTTTCTATATTCTTTATTATTTCCTTTGCGATACATTAATAAAATCTTTCTCATAGAAAAAGGAATAGCTTTTGACTTGTGCTTCACTTAGTTATAAATACTTGGGATGGTGATCTTCCATACAGATAACATGCCATAAAGCAATGAAAATGATGGTCTGATCATATTTCTATATTCTTATTTCTATGTAAACCCTACAGCACATTTTTGAAAAACGAGATAGCCTTCCCAACAGAATGAAACTAAGATCCCCCATTTTTTTCTTGAAATAATTAGGGAAGATGCGCTGAAAGATCGAATAATCTCATGTGATAGGACGAAATAACTACTCGAGTAGGGGATAAGTAGAGTATACCATCACTGAAAATCTCTGAATCTGACATACCAAAGTTAAATAAAATCAAATAGCTCCTTTACGTCTGCTTGAATTTCCTAGTGTCATTGAGAATTATGAAAAACTTTCTGCGACTATTGCAAGCACGTGTGCCTGGAATATACCAGCCTTCAAAGCTGTTTAGAATCAGATTTAGTTCCCTAGTGAAATGAATAAATGATGAGATCATCCAGTAACGTGATTTATGGTGACTGGGTTGAAGGGAATACCTTTCTGGCAATGATCTATTGATAGTTTTGGGAGGACTGAGTCACTGAGGAGAGATTTGTTCTATCATCTACACTTTTCAGCTAGAAGCGGATAACTTGTTTTATTCTTTTACCTTTATTTTGGCTTGGACAGCAGTATTGGATGGTATCTCAATATCACGGTTTATTGCATACGTTATATGTTATGACCTTTGTTTTTTCCTTTCATTTAATATTGTTGATATTAATTGTATTATTTTTCATTTTTCAGTATGTTGTCAAAAACTTTATTACATTTCATTTGTTCCACAAATAGGCATTTACAATCATGAAGTTTTATCTAATTTTATATCTTAATGCTCTACCACGGGACAGACGGCGTTTCCAGCACAGGAGAAAAGGCTAGATGCCTTAATGTTATACGCAGCTGAAATATTTATGTATATAGAAGAAAATCTAAAGCTTACCCCGCAAAGTTTGTCAGATAAAACAATAGCATCTGATGAATTGGAAGAGATGCATCAACAGGTGATTATTGAGGGTGTAGTTATTTAATTATTATATTGTTTGAATTTTTTTTATATGCTAGACTTCTATACAAGACGGATAAACAATAACAAGTCACCAGGATTTTTGCATGGTCATTGAATTTCTCTAATGGATTTGGCTGTGAAAATTCACAAAGCAATCAATGTTTTGATTTCATACATACCCTTTCTCTTCATCCTTTGAAATGTTTTGTGTTTGATAATGCCCCCGTTTGGCCCCCATTTTTTCCCATTACATTACGTTAATTTTTTATTTCTTCATTTCAACCACACATTCTCCCATCAATCACTATTCCAAAAATTTTCAACTCCCTAAACTGGGGGCCAAACGGGGGCAATATATTAATTTTCTTGTTTCATGATTCCAAAAATCCCTACCCTCAAATTAAAATCCACACGTTAAAACACTTTCTAGACTGTTGACATCATTTCCTTGTATTTCCTTTTAATTTTCCCTATCAGGGTTATCTTTTCCTCTTCCTGTGTTATAGTGCTTTTATATAATTTCTAATTGGTTTCAGGTAGTTTCCTCATCATTACTGGCATTGGCAACACTGCTTGATGTTTTTGTATCTGGGCAATTTGAAAAATCTGATTCGGACAACATGATAGGTGAATCAAAGCATGCTGTGAAAGCCAGGGCTATGACTCTGGCTGTTTCTAGTGCTGATAAGTTGTTCTCCACTCATAAATATTTTCTAGACTTTCTAAAGTCTCAAAGCCCTGCAATCCGTTCGGCTACATATTCAGTGCTGAGGAGTTATATAAAAAACATACCTGATGTTGTAAATAAAGGTGATATGAAAAGTCTAGCTGCAACCATACTTGGTGCTTTCCAGGAAAGGAATCCAGCATGCCATTCATCAATGTGGCAAACAGTGCTAATCTTTAGTAAAAGATATCCGGACAGTTGGACTACCTTGAATGTTCAAAAAATAATTACAAGTCGGTTATGTGATTTTCTGAAGAATGGGTGTTTTGGATCTCAGCAAGTGTCTTACCCAGCTCTTGTTTTATTTTTAGACACAGTTCCTCCAAAAGCAATTGTAGGAGAGAAATTTATCCTTCAATTTTTCCAGAATTTGTGGGCAGGGAGAAAGTTGTCTTACTTTTCTAATGGGGATCAACTGGCATTTTTCATGAGATTTGAAGAATGTTTCCTTTGGGCTTTAAGAAATGCTTCTAGGTATGAGTTCCTTGAGTTAGATGGTAATTTGTATACTTTACACACACACACACACACACACACAAAAAAAAAGCATACATACACATTTATTACGATTACTGTTTTTTTCTTAAATCTTATTTTATTTTTTGGTTATTGTAATGGCTACTTTTCTCCTCTTTGGTATCAGATATTGTGATGGAGTAGACGCCATTTATGGTTTCCAGCGTACTCTTGTTGATACGATAGTAATAGGTCTTCTGTGGCATGAGTACCTACTGGCAGCCAGCTCAAAATATCAGGACACATTCTTCTCTGAAACTACTATCGCTTCATCCAAGTGTAGTACTGAATCTGTTGATAAGGAATCAAGGGAAACACTTAATGTCAAATATCCAGCAGATTACGAGGGAAATCTTGGGAAATGCATCATTGGAATCCTTTCAGGGATCCATTGCCTGGAACATGATCTACTTTTGGTTTTCTGTTCAACATTTCAAGGAAATTGTCTGGATATATTTCGGCAAACAGAGTGCTCTTCTCAAAATGCAGAATGGGCAGTCAAATTTTTAATTTTACTGGACGAACATGCTGTACAGAAGGGTGAATCATGGCCCTTGGTTGACTTATTGGGCCCCATGTTGAAAGAGTCTTTCCAAGTCATCGAAACATTTGTAAGTTAAGAAAGCAACTTTTAATCTCATACGATGGTTAGTAAAAATGATTTAGGCGTTAACATTTTGTTTCCTGTGTACTTTGCTCAATAGCTGGGAGTTTTGATGTGAAATTATTGGCCCTTGTTTGAGCCCCCCCCTTTTTTTTGTTGGGGGGAATAGTGTTTTTTTGGAGAATATGTGGTTAAAAAATAATGTAGAAGTTTTCGGTTTACGAGTAAACTTATTTTATTGGAGAATGTGTGGTTGAAAATGAGTATTGAAAAAATGAGTTTCTGATAAAATGGGGCTCAAACATGGGCTTGGTTATGTTAATGATGTTATCTATTTTTCCTGTTCAATTATTGTGATCCTTCATAAACTGGATCCCCAGGATTGGTTGAGAACATCAGATTCTAACATTTGTTTACAAACTAAATTATCAACACGATCCACATCTATAATAAAATGCAATTGGGTTAAAACTATTTCTCTGGTGTTTGTTCTGTTTTTATTTATGGAATGATGTAAAGAGCACAGATGAGCTACTGAAATTTTTGTGTTTTGGTTGTTGGGGTTTTTTGATTGTAAGTGAATATCTTTTATGTGCGTTGGCTCAAACTTTTCAATGATTTTTTTACTAATCAATTCCTTTGTTACTTGACTACTCACATTATGAGATTGTGCACGTACAGGGATTTCCATGAGTTGATTTTGCCTACTTAATTTTAAAGGACCTTGTGAATGTGAAAATCTATAGTATATGACTTTTGGTTGACACTTCAGTTTTTTTGACGATTACCTAGGTTGTGTTCCATCTGGATCATGGACTTCTTATGCATGAAGCATCCATTTGGATTTGTCACATGTACTGTGTTGGAGTTTACTACCAAATTCAAGATTTTTTAGTTATAAAACTATAGTTCCTCATGGCAAAAGAACATTCATGATAAACCTTGCAATTCATATCAGTTTGCTTTCTGTTTTTAAATTTGCCTCAATATAATAAGTTTACGTAGAAACATGGTTTTCTTGAAGAAAGAATTCATACTAGAGTAAACAGAAGACTTGTAGCTTTCAAATGCATGAGATATAACGATCTAACAGAGTGCTTGATTCGTATTCCATGTCTGCACTTGATGTGGTTTGTCAATTTGAAGTGCCATCGACCCTTGAGTTTAGTATATTTTTTTTCTGATTATTCTGCAACCATTTTTGCTCAAATATATAATTTTCCTCTAAATTTGAAATGATCCTCTGGTCAGGCATGGCAAACCTCTCTGTGAATAAAATGAGTAGATTTACCAGTGAATGTTATCAATAGTGATCCATTTCAGTATGGAATTAAGATAGATCTTCCTTTACTATGAGTGAAAGAAGTAAAATAGTATGAATTCCGTGGTGCTATGTTAATTTTGTTCTACTAATCTTAGTTTGCTGTCTGGTATTGCTTTTGTGTCATCTCAAGTTATTTTTCTACTGGAATTAATTCACATATAAATTAACAAATATTAGACTGATTAAAAATTTTCTGTAGTTTTTTCTTCCAAAATTTATGTTGTTTTGTCATAATTAGCTGTACCATATATCTGAAACAAGGAGCACTTCTTATTATTGCCTGTATCTTGAGCCATTTTCAATGATATCCACACTGGTTTACTAGCCTTTTGCTGTTATCCACAATGGTTTGCTAGCCTTTTGCTGTTCATTTAAATAATGTGATAAGAGCCGTGCAGTTGTGAAACCTTTCTTTGCTTGCATCTTAAAGAAGAAAAAAATGAGGGATCTCTTTTTCTCCTCCGCTTAATATATCATTATGTCGTTTTCTCCAGTCTTATGACGGGAATGTTATAGTTTGCGATTCATTACATCAACAATTTTTGTTCTCTTTACGACAGGACTCACCAGATTCAGTGAGACTTATTGTGGTTGCTGTTTCAGTATTTGGGCCTCAGAAGATTATTCAAGAACTTATTTCTGTTGATTTGGGGTCTCGAGTGTTTTTGCAATATTTCAACGAGAGGATTATTCCCTTGTGCTTGAGAGAAGTTGGCCCCTCTAATTCATCTCGATTAGACCTCTTGCTGGCATTACTTGATGGAGAGTTCTTCTCAGAGCAGTGGAATGCCATCATTACATATTTAATAAATTCAGAACACGAGGGTGTTACTCCTGGAACTGTGGACAACAACAAAATATCTATCTTGGCTATGTTGATAGAGAAGGTTAGGGAGAGAACTAGAAAGCGAACTCATCTGGAAGGATCCTGCTCATACGAATGGCATCATGAGCTTCTGGATTCAGCTGCTCTCTCTATTATCCATTCGTTTCCTCCATTTAGGAATTCTGATGCTCACTTCTTATGGTGCGTAAATAGTGGTATCTTGAAATATTTTCCCGGTCATTTATAACTATTAAATGCTGACTGCATCTGATTTCAAATAGACTTGGGATTTACTCAGTTTAATCCCTTTGTATGTTCTATTGCTTTATAGCCTGTGGGCCTTTTAGTAAGTCAATCTTCCTATTTAAATTTTGGCATGCATGAGGTGAAAGAGGAATCATGCATGGTATGGAGAATTTGTCCCTGCTACCTTCACTTCTTCTCGTGGTCTGTGACCTGTTAATATCTGTAGAATTATTATGCCCTTGTGGAACCATACAGTAATTGAAAAAGGTTACCCTTTAGAGTGGAACACGATAAGGTCCATCTTGAAGTCTCTATTCATTAGTCAATTTTAGAACTTCAACATATGAATACTTTGGAGAAGGTTATGTGTACACAAGCACCATATTAAAAGCTTAACTCGAGTGCAGATGGTTGGCAGACTACAGCACATTGAACATATTTTGGCTGGATAGCCAGCATATGTAGCTTTCAAACACATACCATTGTAAACAATAATTGTCACTAGCTGACTTAGAAGAATGACTATTTAAATGCTTTGCAGAAAATTCACCTACGTCTAAAAATTGACCTTATCTTTGTTTTAAAAGTGTTTTTCCCCTTTCAGTTTTCTGTGGCTTCAATTTCGTTCGGTTTGATTTATTCTTTTGATATAAATTGACAGATTATTCATTTTTCTTATTTGGACTAGTAACTCGCTTCCCGTAGAACAGAAATACTAATCCATGATCTATTTGTTGTTATTTTTTGGTGGTAAACTCTCTGAATCCCTTATTCAATGGAGATTATATAAGTAATCTGTGCGTCTCCCTCCCATTCATCCCTGAATACTCTATTCTGTAATCGAGTACTTCATTCTTCTAGTATTGTGCATAAATTTTCTTGTGTGTGGGAAAAACTCTTACCTTCTTTCTTTGTTTCATCATATGTGGCAGTGCTGTTCTTGGTGGTGGAGTCGAAGATGATAATATTTCCTTCTTATCAAGAAACACATCATTTCTTATATATGAAGAAATATTTCGAATTCTGTTGACTTTCATGCTGGATTCTAGTTTTGTCTGGGTTAAGAATATGTGTTCTTTGTTAAGTAATGGGAGAATTTATTCTTCCTGGGGATTTGAATCTTCTACTAATATGCTTGAGATGGCTCATTTTGCCCTGGATGTTCTAAATGGTAGTTTCTTTTGTCTGAAGACTATTAATGATGAAACCGAGTTAGTTTCAGGTATATTAGCTGCAATATTTATCATTGACTGGGAATGTAACATGTTGACTGTTACCGAGGATGAACTTGATGAAAAGCAGATGGGAGAAATTGAGGCCAGGTTGACATTCTGCGAGGCTATCCATATTTTTCGTAGCAAGATATGTAATCAGTTCTTTAAAAGTCTCAGCATAAATAATCGAAACAGCCTGGGAACTGTTTTGGTTGAGTCAATAAAATCCATTATATTTATGGAAACTAAATTAGATTCTGATAGAATCATATCTTTATGCTGCCAATGGATGTGTGACATTTTTGAATATTTCTGTAAAGACCAATTTGAGGAACAGCAGTTGTTGGAGCATTTCCTGACAAAGAATGATTGGTGGCCCTTGTGGATCATGCCAGATAATCGTTTAGGATCCAGCTTCAAAGCTGAAAATGGTTCTCTCTACGTGAGTTTTACTGTTATTTTTTTTTTCTAGCATTTTGTTTTGAATTATTTATTTTTCGAGTGAGAAGTTTCTCAGTTTGATTCTACTCAATACACCACATTGCAGTGGTCTTTTGTCTGTTTATACTTGCTTCTGCAAATCCTTTATATCTTGCAGAACTTCTCTTTTCCTACATCATTTTGTTCTCGAACTTTATTTTGGGGTAAATGATTATCTGCCATCCTCATCTGTCTCAAAAAATGAAGCTTTCACTGAAAACTGAAATCCTTGAGTCCTTGGCTGATTGATGATCTGACACCGACAATCTTGGGGCATGGGAATCACTTTCTTCTTTACCTTGAGTTTATACTGTGTAGTCTATATGGTCTTTTCTTTAGCAACATGATCACTCTTAATCATGCCAAAATTAGCCATTATATTGCCGATATAGCTTTCTCAGTAAATTCACGAGGAAGTCTTCAACCAGAACTTGCTGTCTCAGTTTCTTCACAACATATAACTTAAAGTAAAAATCATAGATAGTTTATTGTAGAATACCAGAATATTTATACTTNTAGTTTATTGTAGAATACCAGAATATTTATACTTAATCGTACATTTCACCAAATCTAATCTGGAAAGAGATATATATTGGCCATGTAGTTAAAAGTGCTCATGCTACCCTGATGTTGTCAGCTGTTTCACTTATATAGTTTAAGTACCTGGATCCCCAGTCATTTATTCCCAAACTAATTATATTATTGTATATAGCATGTTTGGGAGTGCTTAAGAGCTATAAGCAATCCCAAACATGCACTAAAGCTGTTTATAGTACGTGTATATACTATATAAACAAGGATACAACTGATAGCTAACTTTTATCAATACAATTTATTTGTCGGCATCCAAAAACACTCTGTTTGTTGCTTTAGTTGACAGGATACAACTGATAGCTAACTTTTATCAATACAATTTATTTGTAGGCATCCAAAAACACTCTGTTTGTTGCTTTAGTTGACAAACTAATATCCGAAATTGGATTTGCACGTGTTATTGCTGCTGCTACCTCTCCATCTTTAAATGGGGAGCCTATTAGAGACCTAACAACAAATAATCTGTATTCTTCTCGAGCCTGGCTTGCTGCTGAAATTTTATGTACATGGAAATGGCTTGGTGGTAGTGCTTTGCACTCTTTTCTGCCTTCTCTCAGTGAATATGTGAAGCATTCTCCTGAATACTGCCTTCTGGATTCCATTGTCAGCATTCTGCTTGATGGTGCTCTTGTCCAGGGAGCTGGTGGTGGGATAAGCCCTTTATGGCTTGCTTCATATGATGAGGTGCAGGGCATTGAGGAACCCTTTTTGAGAGCTCTCGTATCTTTACTGTTGACTCTTTTTCAAGATGATATATGGGGGAAGGGCAAAGCTGAATCGCTCTTTAATTTGCTTCTGGATAAGCTCTACATTGGTGAAACAACTAACTTGAATTGCTTGAGGATTCTTTCTTCTGTTGTGAGCATACTTATAAGACCCTTAAGCATCAGATTGGTAGATTCCAGTGCGAGTGATGAGTGTGAGCACTACAGTCAAAGCAAATTTCATGATTCAACAGTAGACTGGCTTGAGAGAACTGTATCTTTCCCCCCTCTGAATACATGGCAAACTGGAGAAGGTAAATGCAAGGTACAATTAGTTTTCATTCATATACTGCGCACTCATAATTAAATTATTGATTTTTTGGTGTACTCATGAATATATGATTATATAATAGTAGGCATAAAGGGAAATGAATTATAGTTTTTCATGGCTTTATATCTTGAAGCTAAGGCATATATCATTTTTTTGAGTATCTAATGGCAAAAATCTCATAATGTTCCACCATGGAGTTGTTGCAGTTCATTCTTGTTTTCCAACATTCTGGCTTTGCTATTTTAACGATTTGACTTCTTCTTCCAGATATGGAGGATTTCTTTCAGTTGGTTATATCATGTTTCCCTATTAGAACAACAGAACAATTGCAAGGGCTAAAACCAGAGAGATATATCAGTCCTGTGGAGAAGGAACTTCTGTACAAGTTATTTGAGAAGCAGAGACAACATGCTGGTGCATCAGCTGTAGTAAACAAGCTGCCGTTGGTTCAGAGTTTGTTGTCAAAGTTAGTGGTTGTTTCAGTTGCTTATTGCTGGGAGGAATTCAATGAAGATGATTGGAATTTTGTTCTAATTCGGTCAAGATTTTGGATTGAGTCAACTGTTGTTATGATGGAGGAAGTTGCTGAAAATGTGAATGATGCTGTGGCAAACAGTTCGAGTTCCAATGACATGACAGATACTCTAAAGAAGCTTAAGATTGCTGTTTCAACCATAGACTCTTTTCCCATGAAACTTGCAACAAATGCACTTACTGCCTTCTCTCTGTTCTGTGGCCTGACGGGACTCCAAAAGAACGAGTACGCTGAGAATTCAAACCCTTTGAGGATTGAGAGGTGGGAGGTCATCAAGGATCGAATTCTAGAAGGTATTCTTCGTTTATTTTTCTGTACTGGTGCTGCTGAGGCCATTGCAAATTCGTATTGCCATGAGGCTTCATCTGTTGTTGCGTCATCTCGTCTGGATCATCCTCTCTTCTGGGAGTTAGTTGCTTCAAGGGCTATTGAATCTAGTTCACATGCAAGAGACAAAGCCGTGAAATCGATAGAGATTTGGGGTCTAAGTAAAGGGCCCATAAGCTCATTGTATGCTTTACTCTTTTCTTGCAAACCACTTCCTCCTCTGCAGTTTGCGGCGTTTGTTATTCTTTCAAGTGAACCTGTGATGCACTCAGCTTTTAAATATGACATCGCTAGTTTGGTAGACACGTCTAACAACGAGGATCCTCACAATCCTGATATTGCTTCCGAAGGAAATGTTCGTTTGAGGGAAGAAATTTCTCACATGCTCGAAAAGTTTCCAGAGGAGGTTTTTGAAATGGATTTAGTGGCAAATGAACGGGTAAGTAATAAGTAACCGTGAGCATTAACTTTCTGCTCTTTGCTCCTTTGTGATGTCTTAATGTTTTGGTTACTCTAGGAGTAGGTAACATTGCATAAGAGAGATGTTGATTGCCGAGTTAATTTCTATGTGACATTACCTCATAGGCTGTGTTGTTTCTGTTAAACTTACAGGTGAACATATTTCTAGCTTGGTCTTTGTTTCTGTCACATCTAGGATCCTTGCCATCTACTTCGTCTGAAAGAGAAAGAATGGTTCAGTATGTACAAGACTCTACCAATTCGGTAATATTGGATTGCCTTCTCCAACACATTCAATTGGAATTGTACGTGGTGCCAGGCTCACGAAGGAAAGATATAGAACTTCCAGCAACAGTATCCAAAGCAGCCACAGCTGCAACACGTGCCATCAGGACCAGATCAGTATTGTTTTGCATAGAGTCACTTTGGCCTGTTGAAACAGAGAAAATGGCCTCACTTGCAGGTGGAATATTTGGTTTGATGCTTCATATTCTTCCTGCCTATGTTCGAGGATGGTTTAGTGACATACGAAATCGTTCTACTTCATCTTCTGTTGAGGCTTTCACAAAAACATGGTGTAGCCCAACACTTGTTACAAATGAATTATCTCAGGTGTGTGACACGATTCCTGTTTGCTGTTGATTCCAGTTTAATTCCAGTTGACTTGTTTTCTGACTCCGTTAAAAAATCTGCATGTTACGGAAACAGCATCCCTGCTTGCAAGGTAAACATGAATATAATTCTCCGTCATCGCGTAATGTCTTGAGCATTATGCATTGGGTGTCCTCTCTATGTAGAAATAGGTAGATGAAAAGCCTGCTAGAGATAATGTGCACCTCAAATATCACATAAGATTGGAGATTATGATTGTTTCAATGCTTCATTGTCTTCAGTGTTATTTTCTTCTAAGTTTATTTTGCAATAAGATACTTGATGTGATCACAGCATAAAACTGAAGCTTATTTTTCTCTATGCAGATCAAGAAAGCCAGTTTTGCATTTGAAAATTTCTCAATTAGTGTGAGAAAATCAGCTAATGAGGTTGTGGCCACCTATTCGAAGGATGAAACGGGAATAGATCTAGTAATTCGTCTTCCTCCATCTTACCCTCTGAGACCTGTAGATGTAGATTGTACCAGGAGCCTGGGCATTAGTGAGTTGAAGCAGAGAAAATGGTTGATGTCAATGAGGTCGTTTGTTAGTAATCAGGTATAACTGACAAACTCTTGCTGCTCACGTGCTCTTCTCTATGTACACATTGTTTGCCCACTATGAGATTCATGCAATTCAAGAATTTATGAATTTACTCTTGTTGTATGTGGGCATCACTTGTCAACTTTGATATTAGTTGACAAATCTGGTTCTTGTCCTCCATCCCAGATTGATCATCTGAGATTCTCCATCCCCCAACAACCATCACATAGATGCAAAGTCACAAATACCCCCATTAAGTGGGTTAGTTCTTGAAAAATGATATGAAATATTTGTGAAGTAAATGATTGTGTCGTATTTTCGAACCACCCTACAATATGGGGGTAAAAAAGCCAAAATAAGTGTGAAAGCTGTATTAGATGAAAGTCGTATGTACGGCTTGGATGGAGATCTTTCATATCTTTCGAGATCCACCCTACAATATGGGGTAAAAAAGCCAAAATAAGTTATTTTAGCCCTTATAAAAAGAAAATGGATTCTTTATCTAAAGATTAAGCTATTTGAGAAGGCTATTGTACATCATTTAAATAGTCTTTAACATGCCCCTCACGTACAGGTGGGCTCATTTTTTCCGTCAAATCTTGACACGTGTACAATTTCATTAAATGGGTGGTATTCAGAATTGAATTCAAGACCTTTGCATGTTGTGATATGGTAAATGATTGGGTTTTCATCTTAAAATGTGTATTTGGTTAAGAGTAGTTTAATCTATTATATGTTGGGTAGTGTTTCATATCTAACCGATGAGGGATTTACCCTTGACATGCCAACTCAAGATGGTGACTCATTGGATAACACTGATCCTGGAATCTGATTGCTTGTTTGAGCTTTAAAGGGATTGAATTATTTCTTTGAAATTTTTTTGGTTTTAGTACCATTTTGAACCACTTCATCGAAAAACTTAAAACATTTTAGAGATGACCACATGTATATCATTTAAAAATTGTGTCCAACTTGTATTAATCTGTGGAAAAAGTGCAAGTGCAAGATCTTTTTGGTGGTGGAGTATTTGTGTAGAACATGTCCGATTTCGTTTTTTGTTATTCATATTTGAGAGAATTTTGGCTTTACTGCGAACATTGATTAGTTATGAACTTCATGGCCCTCCTATAAGCCAAGAAATATTCAGCGTTGTTTACATGTTTTTTACTTTGAACATTTCCGTTTTGAAATCTGGAGGTTGATGATGTGTGTGAATGATACAGAATGGTGCTTTAGCTGAAGCAATACGGATATGGAAGAGAAATTTTGACAAGGAATTTGAAGGTGTTGAGGAGTGCCCTATCTGTTATAGTGTCATCCACACTGCCAACCATAGCTTGCCTCGCCTTGCTTGCAAGACCTGCAAGCATAAATTCCATTCTGCCTGCCTCTACAAGTGGTTTTCAACTTCTCACAAATCGACCTGTCCACTGTGCCAATCTCCCTTTTGATCTCAGAAAATATAGTCATCACATTTATTTACTGCGCTGTGGTGTTAAAGAAGTTTAATCTCAGGTGCTTTATATTTATTGACTGCGGACTCAATTTGAAGAATGCAAAGGCTTCTAATTTTAAGCACTCGAAATTTAAAGTGCATTAAACATGCCCCCCCCTCCCCCTCTCTCTCTCCCTCCTGTGACCACGAGTTGCATCGTACCATCTGAGATGACGTTCTTGGTTAAAATTGCCTGAGCTTGCTTTGAGGAGACCTGTCAAGCTCTAGAAACTCCTGGAGCCCTTTTTGTGTGACACGTTGATAGGGTAAGTTTGCTTATTGCATTATTTTGTCCATGAGTGTTCCAATTTAGATATGTTTAGTTTGAAAAAGACATCAAAACACCAAGAATGGCACATGGAAAGTTTTCTTGTGAGAATTTATGCATATTTTAGAGCATGTTTGAGAGTGATTAAAATCCAATTAAAATTAAAAATATAGCCGTTATTTGGTTTCACTCATCTAATAATCACTCATTTAATAAAAGTCAACAATAACTGCTAGTTTTTCAATTTTAATTTGATTTTAATCTCTACCGAATACACCCTTAATATTATATTATTGCTGTATTTTTTAAAAAAAATTTATCACATTATTTTTTCCTGTTTCTGTATTTTTCCCCCTTTTTAATTGTTATGGTGGTCAATGTGTGCGGTGGACTCAAAATGCACACAAATTGGGATCAACTCTTTTTTGAGAGACATTGTGCCATTGTTCTATTTTTCAGGGGGTTTGGGAGTTGGGTGCATGGTTAGATTGGGGAACAAGATTCTTTCTATCCTATATCCAAAGACGATTGCTTGCTTAGCAATGAGAGCTGAGAGCATTCATGTTGAGTGTAACCTCTGCTTGTGGAATCTGTTGTTAAACAAGGGCATTTTGTAATTGGGCACTTTGTTTTTAAAATTGAGGGAGGGCATCTTCCACCGGTGCATCCTCCTAAATTCTGGGAAGCACTGCTAGGCCTTAGTAAGCACTCTTATATATCACCGCTCCAACAGCTGGACTTGGATGTCAGAAGTGCATGGAAACTAGGCCTTAGTACATTATATAAAATGGGTCCAATAGCTGCTGGAATTGATTTCGACATTTGATTTCATGAAAAGATAAGAGGACACAGTATAGCTGTTGTTTAATTGGATGACAGTGGGAACTTGAGAAGTTATTCCTCTGTTCCTTTTTCCCTTACTGTCTTTATCCATCCTCGTATTTTTGTGTCGAATTTTGTTTCTGGAACCCGGGCTACCCTGGGAGAAGGATCGGTTCTGCTGGTTTTGCATTTGAAGTGGTAATTCAATGACTTAAAGAGTACGAATCAACCGAGTTTCTAGGTTAGGCATGTGTACCACCACGGTTGGCAGTTTCTGGCTGTTCTTGTATGTAACATCCAAATAACTATATAAAGTGAAAATAAATTGATGACGCCATTTTATGCAATAGAAATTGACCTTTTTGCATGTTTATAATTTTTCTGTTAATAATAGATTTCATTTTCTTGTTCATTGCAGACACAGATTTTAAATCTTTACGATTACGTTGTTGAAAATGTAGGTCTTGTTCATCTAATTCAGGCCACAAGTACATGTGGTAAACATACGATATTAAGGCATTTCGACGAAGATAGAACGGATGCTCCTATCTGCCAATAGTTTGAAGTATCAAGTGTGAGAACGCCAGAATGCGTGTACAATTACTTCCGTATGCATTCAGAACTCTGTTTTGTTATACATTTTTTTTCTCTTTCTTTTTTGCACACATGTATAACAGTGGAATTAGCCAGGCGAATATAATTAGTTTTCACAAGATTTTGATGATTATGTTGTTACTGCCAAGCTTTCTTGTCATTCTTTTGTGGGTTTGCTTTATGGGTAGTAGCTTAAGTCAAAAGGCACGTGAAAGAGGAGAAAAGTTTTAATGGGACAGTCCTACTTGTCTTGAATTTCTTCCTAGCGTTGTTTTCTGCGTTCTAAGATGAAGAATCACAAAATTAGAGGTCCACATTAGGTTAAATAGTTGGTCAAATCGCTTTTAAAAATTTGGACGAAGCCAAAAAAGAAACATAATGGTGCCTGAATTTTTACGTCATGCAATTTACATGGTACATACCATTGCGATCGCATGGCATAACGATGTTGAATTGAGTGCAGTTTGGTGCAAGATTTCTCCTTTTTTTTTTTTTCGATAAAAGACATTCCATAAAAGACGCAAAAACACGGTTACAAGGAGGAAAACCTCCAAACACAGACCCTCAAAAGAGAGAAAAAAGTGCCATCACGGCCAAAGGAATGACCACCAAAACAGACATGACCGAAAACAAAAACACGACCCAAGACAAACAAATTAATCGAAGTCATCACAGCTGTGACATTACAAGAAAGGCAAGGCCCAAACTGAAAGCCACCTATGCAATCAGCAATTTAGCATCCCGCCACGAAGCAGACTTTGTCTAGACTTCACCCCACCAAACAAACCAAACGACAAACAACAGAAACAAACCAAAACACCACCTCCACCAAACAAACAAACACAACCCAAACAACAAACCAAACAAACCAGCCAACACACACCACCAAACAAAACAAAACAAACCAAACAACAACAACAATACCCCCACCACAAACCAAACAGGGCACAAAAACCAGCAGACCCCAGAAAAAACGAGGTCCCCTCCTCCATCACCGGCGCACCCTGAAAACTCCAGCCTCGCGGTACCAGAACACGACTGAAGGACCCAGTTCTTCGTACGAGCAACATCAGCCACCGCAACCGGAGACTGGCCATACTAGCCCCAGCCGTACCTTTCGCATTCTCATAATTAAATTCAAAACTCGTCCTTTTTGTTCGATTTTCATTCCAAAAGCTCGTCCAATATCGAGTTTTATTTAAAACAAACAATATCTATACGAGATTAAAAAATAATTCCCTAAAAAACTACTCTCGAATGTCTATATTTAATGACCTAGATATACACTTATCAATATATATTACAAGGCATTCATATGGTGGAATTAGCTAGGTGAAAATCATAAATTTTTACAAGGTTTTGGTGACTATGTAGCCACTTGTCAATCTTTCTTAGCTTTTGGTTTTTGCCTCTATTTAGTAGGGATTAAAATTTAAATTTTTTTATATCTAAATCGAAGTCAAAAAATTAATATTACATATTTTTCATAAAAATATGATTTTAATCCCAAACAAACCGGGGCTTTCTTCATGGGTTTGTGAGAGTAGCTTAGCTTGACTCGAAGGCACGTGAAAGATGAGAACTTCTTCAATGTTACAATCTTACGTGATACGAGCTTTTCATTTAAATTATGAGACCTCATTTAAATCACATTCAAATTTCAAATCACTCATTGTGACACATCAGCGTTCAAGGATAGTGTGGACACGCATTTTGAGTGATTTGAGATTTGAAGTGTCATGATTTGAATGAACAATTCTATCACATATGTATATTAGACCGTGCATTCGAATATTCTATCTCGAAAAAAAGTACTATTACTACAAATGGCAATATTATATGCCGTACCAGGTTATATCTACTGGAATATGTACTGCCTTATTTATTCCCTTCCCCGAATGTGACCCGCCTCCTCTCTCATCATATCATCACCTTATATATTATTATATTTGCCATTTATTACTAGAATTGCCCATGCCATGGGCCCTGGACGCACTTGGCGCCCCCCTAACGCCCCTGTGAGTCCCGGGCCCATTTACTGAGAGTGATGGATGCTCAGCCAATCCCCAAATTGTCCCTTCCATTTACATTTGCGAATCAAACAAAATAAAGGTTAGTTTTGTAATTTTATTTCGTCATCTTCCTCCCCCAACAGAAACAAGTAGACAACCCCAGTCAAAGAACTGGTTTCTGTTTAAACAGTTGGAAACGTGGATCTCAGAATCAATCAATCAATGGCTTCACATTTTTCCTTTTCTACTTTCCACAAATAGTTTTCCATTTCCATTTCCATTTCCATCCAATATATACTTAGTCAAAGATTATTGCTTTTGCAATTTCTTCTCTAATTTCTTGTCACTCAGAAAATACCACAGTAATTTCAGCGTTTGAATGAAAAAATCCCACAAAACCATGGAAGGTATGAAACTCATTAATCCCTTTGCATCCCTCTCAGAAGAGATCATATCCACAATCTTAGACTGCCTCTATGAAGATTCAGACATCAAGAAATCTTTCTCTTTAGTCTGCAAATCATTCCACTCTATTGAATCCCATCATAGGAAGACTTTGAAGCCTCTTTACATTGAGCTCATTTCAAGAATTCTCAATAGATACCCTCTGATTCATCATGTTGATCTTACTTACTGTCCACGTGTAGAGGACAGAGTACTGTTGTCTATATCTAATGCATATGGGTCTACTTTGAGGTCCATTAATCTGTCAAGATCAAGATTTTTTACTCATGTGGGATTGTTAAGTTTGGCAAGCAAGTGTTGGGGTTTGGTTGAATTGGATTTGTCCAATGCAACGGAGTTGACGGATGCTGGGGCGGCTTCTATTGCAGAAGCTAAGAACTTGGAAAAGTTGTTGATGGCAAGGTGCAAATTGGTATCAGATATTGGGATTGGGTGCATTGCTGTGGGCTGCAAAAAGCTGAGGCTTATCTGCTTGAAATGGTGTATGAGACTTACTGATTTGGGTGTAGGTTTAATTGCCACAAAGTGTAAAGATATTCAGAGTTTGGACCTCTCTTATTTGCTGGTAACTTGTTAGTTAATGGCTCTCTCTTTTTTTGCACTTTGTGTCAATGATTTCTCCACCATTTATTCTAATGATTGTTTCTGATAAGAAACTGATCAAAATATATTGAAAATGATTTTTATCTCTAGGATTTAGGTTTTTCACTTGATTTTGATAGATAAATTTCATATAGGTTCTGCTTTCTTGGTACTCTTAAGTCATTTTTTCTGACTATCTGCTGCTGGTTGCATTGAAGACTTCTTTTTCCGTAACTTCTTCATTTTGATGATTGAACAGAGAGTATTAACCTTGACAGGGAAAAAAAAACAAATAAAGAAATAATTGAACGGTGATAAGTCAAGTAATTGGATAAAATTAACATAACAGAGAAGAGAGGTCTATGGAAGCTGATATATCTCGTTGAAAGATTTGAGTCCATGCTTATGTGTTCGACTGATTCCTTATAATTCGGATATATGCTTATGGTGTGGCATTTACCCAAATTTGATTCCTATTCTCTTCGTTTCTAAGTACTTCGTGTACTTCCATTGAACTTGAAGTTTTTCCGTCCCCTGTCCCTATGGTTGCAGATAACGGCGAAGTGTCTGGCGCGTATTCTGCAACTAGAACATCTCAAAGAGTTAATTCTTGTTGAATGTCCTGGTATTGATGATGAGGGCCTTAGGATTCTGAAAGAAGGTTGCAAGTCGCTCGAGGTACTAATATTTTCCAATGGCTTAATAAAGTTTACCCTCAGCAGACTAGCAATTGCAGCTTTGAATTGTTTGATTTAATTAATCATGTGCTGTTTATGGTTTTCTCCTTCTGTGTTGCACAGGTGCTCAATATATCCAAGTGTCACAATATTAGCACTGTCGGATTGTTTTCTTTAATCAATGGCCCTGAACGCTTAAGCCACCTTAGTTTGGCTTATGGCTCTGCTGTAAGTGGAATTTTCCTCCCATAAATTATCTGATTTTGTAACTCGACCCCATTTCCAATTTTTTGCATTAAATGGTGGGTTTAGGTCACTGCTGACTTTGCAAAATGCTGGTACAAGTTATCGGGATTAAAATCTATCAAGTTAGACGGTTGCCTGGTCACTTTCTGTACAATGAAAGCAATTGGGGATTGGTGTGTATCTATGAAGGAGTTGAGTTTATGTAAATGCCCTGGAGTGACAGATAAGGGTATTTCCTATATCGCTCAGAGGCTTGTTCAGTTGCAGAAACTGGACATTACATGCTGTCACAAGATAACTTACGCCTCTATAGACAGCATAACAAATTCTTGCTCTTCACTCACTTCCCTCAGAATGGAGGCTTGTCGCATGGTCCCGCAAGAAGCTATTTTGTTGATTGGGCAGTCCTGTCACTCTTTGAAAGAACTGGATATCACAGACAATGAAATCAATGATGAAGGTTTAACCTTAAAAATATCCAGTTCAATTTGTGGATTTTTAGGTCTATTTAAAATGACACATGCTGCTTTATGGTGCAGGTTTAGAGTCAATCTCGAAATGTTCTGAGCTTTTGAGTTTAAAACTGGGAGTGTGTCTAAACATCACAGATTGTGGACTGTCACATGTTGCAATGTCTTGTCAAAATCTTATAGAGCTCGACTTGTACAGGCACGTAAACAAGTTTATAACAGCTTTCACATTTTTCCAAGTCGCATTTGTTTTCCTGTGAACCGAGCTCCAAAAGGAGCTAACATTTTTAGAAATTCTACAAGGTTTTAAGGGATTTCAGTCTCTCATTTTGGAGTAATGGCTAAGTCATAGAATTACAAATCCTTTGAGCTATAAAAAGGTAACTTACAGAACAAACATCCAAAGCATCAATTGCTGGTTTTCGAGAGTTTTGTAGTCCAAATTAATATTCTCAAGTTACCCAAGTGCGTCTCTTCAAATAAAATCTGTTTACAGTTTCCATTTCTTCCCCTTGACCAGGTGCATGTCAATAACCGATGGTGGCATTGCAGCAATTGCTAACGGTTGCCCTGCCCTGGAGTCAATTAACATGGCTTACTGTGACAAAGTTACCGATGCTTCTTTATTATCCTTATCTCAATGCTTACAATTGAAAGCTCTAGAAATTCGAGGTTGTCCTTGCATATCTTCTGTTGGATTATCCGCCATTGCCATGAACTGTAAACAGCTGAGCATCTTGGACATTAAGAAATGCCGTAACATTGATGACAATGGAATGATTTCTCTTGCGCTTTATTCTCAATATCTCAAACAGGTATCCTATATCTATACATTCATGCGATGTGTCAACTGGCTTTGTTGAACTGATGAATCATGCTTTTGCAGATAAACTTATCGTATTGTCCAGTTACCGATGCTGGGCTTGTAGCACTGGCTAGCATAAGCCGTCTGCAGAATATGACTATCTTGCATGTTACTGAATTGACTCCAAACGGCATTGTAGCTGCTCTTTTCGCGTTCAGAGGGCTTATGAAAGTGAAACTCCATACATCCTTTAAAGCATCAATCCCTCAGTCTGCACTTAGTGTCATTGAACATCGTGGCTGCATATTTCATTGGAGAAACAAAGCATTTCAGGTACGTACTTTTTCTTTTAAGTTTTCTTGTAAAACAATAACCATTCATGTAACAACCCGAGCCTTTATGCTCAAGCCATTATATTACACAAATTGTCCGCTTTAGAAGAGCTTTTGCCTATTTTATCTCTCATGACTTTGTGTCCTCCACAATTCACACTTAATACCTCTGCTTTGAGAGATTTAAGGGGTAAGATGGATGGAGACTTTCTCAAAGCACACAAAACGTAAGATAATGGTTTGAGCACAAATGCTCGAATCGTTATAATTCATATGTCTAATCGAACCTCATTTGACGAACTCGTTTAGTCAGCAATATGATAATTTTGTCTGTGCTTGTAGGTGGAGACGGACCCCAATGGATGGCGAATACATTTATCAAGACATGATGGTTGAAAACGGAAACGTACATCTTTACCTAATGAGAACATAATAAGGGACAACGTTGCACAAGATAAACTCAGGTTTGGCTACCGCTTATAATTTGTTTATAAACGATCAAATTTATGTCAATCATACTATAAGTACAAGAAATTTTGACAGACAACACATGACGCGGAAACATAGAAGATGGATAGAAAAAAAATCAGGTCAATCATACACCGCTACGTGAACGTCGATATGAATTCTGTCATCATTTCCCTGTACTAATAGCTTTTTCCAATTCACATCACCGACAAACATGCTTTAAGTTTGTCATTTATTGGTATATCTGTAATATTTTAAATTTGAAGATAAACTTTGACAAGAATCTAAAATATATTGTTGTATTATCCGAAATTTTGACATTGCTTCTAGAAGTTCAGTTGTTGACTAGTCAAAATTGTTGATTGATGACGATTGACTGACGCACCTACATATGTAAAATCAAGGACCACCTTCGCCGGACTTAATTGATGCAGGTTTGTAATTAATCAACTATTGTCCCCTTAATATACTTGGACTCATTCAAACTCCATTAACCAACAAAAAATAAAACTAATAGCAAGCTGGTAGATAAGACAATTTCATTTTTTATTCTATTAAATATTATGTTTGTTCATGAAACCTAGATGGTGAAGATAACACAACCCGATGATTTAGCGCAATTGCATCTACAAGTGATGGCGTTTGAACAACTCGTAAAAATGAAATTATTAAGTCAACAAAAGAGGATGTTGAAGCAACAGAGGAATAAACTTTTATCACAATAATATGAGTACTATAGGTAGTGGAGACACATCGGTTGACTAGTTAGAGGAGGAGGACTCCGACGACCACAATAGGTCCTTCACGCCTTCTAATCTCAATCGGCAAATGAATTTTAGTTTTAGTGAAGAAAACGAATCTGCGCTAGGGGTGGAGCCAGGATTTAATGGTACGGGAGGCAAAAGTTTTCAACAGTGAGCTACTGGGCTTGAACGGTGAAAAAACAATGGGTATAACAAAAAAAAAAAATTTTTTTTTTTTAAAAGGGGGCGGGCATGGACAAGGGTGGGCTACAGCCTACCCAGCCCACCCCTACCTCCGCCAGTCGCGCTAGCAGTTGATAGGTTGGCTAATTTGGTTGTGGTGTATGACATTGAGCCAATTTTCGATGAATAAGTTGAAGTTGATGAATTTTTAAACTTGGACGACGTTGTTTATGATGGCCCTCCAAATTCAACGAGGAGAGCCCAATGAAGAAGTCCTTGAATATTGGTTTGAGGAATTCAAGGTGGAAAAGAACAATAGGTTGAGATCTAATCTTCAATCAAAAGTCGACAAAGTTGATGATTAAAAATCTGTTCAGGATGTAGGACTACATGTTGCTCTACGATCCTTGTGTTTGTGTTGAGTGTAACTACGACAACATTCTTTTTTGGTTGCAAAATCTATGTTATGTTTATGATCATGAATGATAATTTAGGTGTAGGGATTGTCCAAATGGTTCGATTGGAATCGAATTAAGACATTCAGGGCTCGTTTGTTTCTCATTTTTTATCCATAAAAATGAAAAATATGACCGTATTCATCACATTAAGTCATCAACTTTGAATTTCTATCTCTTGTGTGGAGCCCAATAACGACTATATTTTTCGTTTTCATTCTATAATAATGAAAATCAAACAGGCTCTCAAAATCAAAACTTTTATTTAATAAAAATCATTCACAGATCAGCAAATCAACAGAATAAATTAAAAAAGAAAATAACAACCTAATTTTAAAAATTTTATTTATACGAGAGGTCTTGTATGGGAGGGATTAAAATCGGATTAAAATTGAAAATATAGTCGTTTTTGCTGACTTTTATTAGACGAGTGATAATAACGACCATATTTTTAATTTTAATTGGATTTTAAGCCCTCCCGAACGGGGCCTAGATTCAAACACACCCTTAATCCATTTCCTCTAGAGAGTGATGGCGCGGTGGAGGTGGGGGGATGACAGTGACAAAAACGCGTAAATATTATTATTTTTTTCAGCCGCCTATCTCAGTCAAACCCGCCATATTTGACCTCCCAAATACCTTTCTCCAATTTCTACTTTCTACTTTTCCTTTTTAGATTCTAATGTCAAAGTTAGGCTCTGTTTGAAATGCTGCCAATCAAAGCAAATTATCCAAATATATTCAAAAATAATTTCTTAAATTTAAAAGCAAATTTTAACTTTCAAGCTCATGCCAAACTGCCCTTAACAACACAGAAAGGCGCCTTGCAAATTACGTATTCATTTTTTCTTTCTTCTTCTTCTTCACTATTTTTCTTATAAACAATCATATCTCTTTAGTTTCTCTCTCTGATGGCTGCTTCTTCAGGAAGTTTAGAAACCTCTGCAAATTCAAATTCACAACCCAAACAATCAACGCCCTTTTCTTTCTCAACTACTGGTTCATTCATGACGACTTCTTTTACAGACCTGCTTTCTTCCGATAACTACCCCGGCAGCGGTGGAACTACTGGTAGCGCCTCCGTGAGAAGAGGTCTTGGTGATCGGATAGCTGAGAGGACTGGTTCTGGGGTACCCAAGTTCAAGTCTCTTCCACCACCTTCATTTCCCTTATCGCCACCTCCAGTTTCGCCCTCTTCCTACTTTGCTATTCCACCTGGTTTAAGCCCTGCTGAGCTTTTGGACTCCCCTGTTCTCTTATCTGCTTCAAACGTAAGGCTTTTTATTTTTATTTATTTATTAAATACTTTTTGGCATCATTCGAAGCTAACGTTTACATTTTTTGTGATAAAATATGCAGATTTTACCATCTCCCACAACAGGGACTTTTCCATTTCAGGCTTTTAATTGGAAAAGCAATTCTAATAGTACTCAGCAGCAGCAAGATGTCAAGCTGGAAGACGATTTTTCTTTCCAAACCCAAACAAACCCAATTCCTACTGTATGTTTCATTGTCATAGACTGGATTCAAATTTTCTGAATTGCTTTTCAAAGTTCAATTTTCTTATACAAATATGTGAAATTCTTGAAATTTTTCAGGGACATCAAGCATGGGGCTATCAAGAACCTGCTAAGCAAGATGGAACTACTTTAAAATCTGAGATGAATCCTACGCAGAGGTTTTCCCCTGAGATTTCTAATGAGTTTCAGTCAGATAATAAGCAGTACAATCAATCTTCACAGGCGAATAAAAGGTCTGATGATGGCTATAATTGGAGGAAATATGGACAGAAACAAGTGAAGGGAAGCGAAAATCCAAGAAGTTATTACAAATGTACACATCCCAGTTGTCCCACAAAGAAAAAGGTGGAGAAATCTATAGATGGACAGATTACTGAAATTGTGTATAAAGGAACTCATAATCATCCTAAACCTCAGTCCACTCGAAGATCATCTTCGTCGTCCTCAACAGTAACTTTGGCTTCCTCTGTAGCCATCCAATCTTACAATCAAATCAATGAAATCCCAGAAAAGTTATATGGTTCAAATGGCACAGGACAAATGGATTCGGTTGCAACACCGGAGAATTCTTCAATTTCTGTAGGGGATGAAGATTTCGAGCAGAGTTCTGATCACAAGAGTAAATCAGGTGGAGATCACGAGTTTGATGAAGATGAACCTGTGGCTAAAAGATGGTACATAATCATCTTCATAATTGAACATACATAAATTAGAAATGAAATTGATTTTTTTGTTGTCTAATATGTTACTAAATTTTCAGGAAAATCGAAAATGAAAGTGAAGGGATTTCAGCAGCAGGGACAGGGAGTAACACAGTTAGAGAACCAAGAGTTGTAGTTCAAACTATAAGCGATATAGATATACTTGATGATGGGTACAGATGGAGAAAGTATGGCCAAAAGGTGGTGAAGGGCAATCCAAATCCAAGGTAACAAAGCAAAATTATAGTCTAATAGTTCAACTTATCAAGTATGTTCTTGGGAACTTTTTACTCGTATATTTCTTGCTAGAACATTTTTGATTTGCTGCAATGTTATTGTCGTTTGTCATTGGGATTCTGATGGATTCTTGGTGTAACAGATAATACATACAAACTCTACTTTGTAAACCAAATTGGGTATTGAGTATTTACTTAGCACCGATTTTTCTGTCGTGGGTAGTTGCAATTTTTTCTTACATTGAATCATTCATTTACATGTATGTATAACCTTAATGGATTTCGTTTGGTTCCTTTGAATCTTGTTCTAGCCAGATGATAAAAAATTATGAAGAAACAATTATTTGGTTTTCGTGACTGCTTTTTGAATTGACAAATATTTTTCTTATGAATTTTAGGAGTTATTACAAGTGCACGAGTCAGGGTTGCAATGTAAGAAAACACGTGGAGCGAGCATCTCAAGACCTGAGGGCAGTAATAACAACCTACGAGGGGAAGCACAACCACAACGTGCCAGCTGCTCGGGGTAGTGGAAACAACGCCCTTAACAGGCCGGTTCCACATAACACTAACAACAATGCAGCCATGACGATTATGCCATCGTCAATGCCTCATCCCTCGAATTATCCAATGTCAATTCGCAGCAGCATTAGGCCATCATCAGCCGAAGCTCAAGCCCCTCATACACTAGAGATGTTGCAGAATCCCGGGGGCTATGAATTTTCGGGATATGGAAATTCAATGAACCCTACATTCTCTCGAGCTAAAGAAGAGGCTAGAGACGACACGTTCTTGGAGTCGTTGCTGTGCTGAATTGTTTGGTTACACACCAAGAAAAGACATCAGATTCATTTGTTTATTTGTGTAGCTGTTTGCTTTGCTTTGTATATGCCACAGAATTGGTTTTGTATATCAAATCCAAATCAACATAAGTGCCTAAAGATAATAGTTTCAGTTGGTTGTTTTGAGGTATGTAAAACATCGATTCTTTACAGTTCACAACATGGTACTCAATTCTTTCATTCAATGCATCAAACTAATGATTTTTGTTTTCTGCTATTTGTTAAGAAATAATTAGGAAAAAAATAGCCAAAAAAAATAAATAATAAATAAATAAAGCCAGACGTGTACTTGTCGTCATTAGTTACGTCGTATTAATAAAGAAGATTAGAATTGTCAAAGATGTACAGCTGTAGATGGCTTGTTGCTCACGTCGGTGAAGGCCAACTTGCAATATATTATTATTTTCTAAAGAAGTTGAGAGAGATCGAAACTCGTTAATATAAAGTCGGTGAAATTAAGCTACCGTTTCATACTCATTTTAATGAATTCTTTTTTATTTTTTTTGGCCAAAACTCATTTGCCTGCTGTATTTGGTTGGTGGGTGATGCTATAAGTACAGGAATTTTACTAACAGGCAACACACAGTTGGGGTGGGTGGAGTTTTGCCAATTTTTTATTCACATGGGGGCCATCCCCATGTGAGAAAATCAAAATTCTGTAAAAAATCTTGTGAAATATATTCTGTACTCCCAGTTTTATCCTTGGTGGATAACACTCATATTTTCTAGACTGACTATTTTGCCCTCAAATGCAATTGTAAATGTACATAATTGCCCTCCATCATTGGGGAAAAAAATACTTTTGTAGTAATTCATGCACTAAACAATCAATTGGAGGGCAGAAATGGAATCAATTTTTAAGTTTTTAATGAATTAGCCTAAAACGCATGTGACCTCAGTTGTTGGCAGGGAAGCCGTCCTTGTTGTCTGACACGGGACACACAATTATTGAGAAATGGTTGGAAAAAATTGGTAAAGAATGGGTTTCAAACACGAATTGTGCTATTTTTCCCGAAAAATATGACATGATAGTTGACAAAATAAATGTTGAAAAAATGTAATTGGTTACAAAAGTTGATCGTGTTTTAAATGGTCCAATGATAGGTTACCACGTGTCATTATGTCAATAATTATGTTCATGTAACATAGGCTTAAGTTTGTTTGTTTGTTTAGTGTCGATTAAAATCAAATTTTTAATAAATTTCAAAATTGATTAAATATATAGTCGAAAAGTTATGATTTCCATGAAATGTGAAGGTAAAATTAATTGTTGACTATGATTTCATATTTTAATCTCCACACAGTGACAGATCCAATATCTGAGGTCAATTAGGGCGGCCATTGATTGTTGATCATCAACGATGTCGATAGTCAAATTTATTAATATTTAATTAAATAATATTAAAAATTCTCCGATACATATATGAATGCACTAAAATATAAAACTCATATTCACCAAGTTTATCACATATTAAACTATCAGTCCATCACCAAGTTTAAATTTTCCATTTCCATCAACAAATTTATTATTTATCACACAAATTCCTCAATTTATCATTGTCATTTATCACAAATCAAATTCACACTCCACATATATCAAATATTCTGAAATTTCTATTTTTCAAAAATCATAAACATGAGGATTCAGCAACAAAATCCTTGATATTCTCAAATTCTCGAATTTATAAAATCCCTAATTCTCAAATTCACAAAAATCAAAATCCTCACAATCAAGAATACATTACACGCGTTGGAATACTAACTCAGCCTCCAGTTCATCAGTAAACCAGCTCACCAGCACCTCAAGTTCAGCAAAGCTTCACTACAATTCACCAGCAAGTTGCATGTTCCAGTTCTTCAAGATATTCTAGCATATTCTAGTTCCTTCTTATGTTTGTTAGATTGTTAGTTTGTTAGATAATTGGTTAGCTATTTTCTCTATAAATAGAATAGATTGCCTTGTAATTTCCTTAAGTAAGAATGAATGAAATAGTCTCTTCTTCTTCCCTGCTTTATTTCGCAGGTTCTATCCCGGTTTCTATCCCTTTATTTTCTTCCTGCATTATATCAGATTTTCGTTTGTTTTCTCTGTTGGCCTCTGTTAAATTTCGTTCCATAATTTCAGCTTCAATTTCTGTTATTTCCCATCTCAGATCCTTTTTCCTTGATTTTATCATGGTATTAGAGCAGGTTTCTGATGCTTCTCACATTCTTCTCTTTCTTTTCTAAATTGAATCTATCAAAAAAAAAAAAACCCCAAAATCAGAAACACAGAAAACAGGAAAGTGACTTGGCTCACTAAATGTTCGACGAAATGTTGAAATGGATGAAAACTGAAGAGATGTTCCTCTTCATCAAACGAAACGAAATTGAAGATAGAACCTGCAAGGAATGGCAGGCTTCTCAAGATCTTCCCAAAATGATTGATTGATTCCCAGATAGGGAATCAAAACGAAATTGAAGGCAGACAAAGTGTCTGTAAAGATGGATGATTTATTCCCAGATAGGGAATCAAAAACAAAATTGAAATAAAACAAGATGTTCTTTGATTGTATCTCTACTCTCCTTCTCTACGGTTCAAGATTTTCCATCTTGAGGGAGGAGTATTGGAATATTAACTCAGCCTCCAGTTCATCAGTAAACCAGCTCACCAGCCCCTCCATTCAGCAAAGCTTCACTCCAGTTCACCAGCAAGTTGCACGTTCCAGTTCCTCCAGATATTCTAGCATATTCTAGTTCCTTCTTATGTTTGTTAGATTGTTAATTTGTTAGATGATTGGTTAACTATTTTCTCTATAAATAGAAGAGATTGCCTTGTAATTTCTTTAAGCAAGAATGAATGAAATAGATCTTCTTCCCCGCTTTATTCAGCAGGTTCTATCCCGGTTTCCATCCTTTATTTTCTTCCTGCATTATATTAGATTTTCCTTTGTTTTCTCTGTTGGCCTCTGTTAATTTTCGTTCCATAATTTCAGCTTCAATTTTTGTTATTTCCAGCTCCAGCTCAGATCCTTTTTCCTTGATTTTATCAACACGCTTACAAACACATCCATAAC